TTTTTTTGATGATTGTAAAGCAGGAGACTTAGTAAAATATCATTGTTATTACTGCTCCTGCTGATGTTTTAGACCTGTGCTTCCCAAAGTGTGGTCCTCAAGGTCACTTCATGTACAGTAAACAAGGCGCAATTGAGATTTAAATAGATTCTACCGAAGATTAGGTTTGAATTACTACAGATATAGCCTAGTCGTACCACACCATAGTACAAAATACATTACATGCAGGGAAATGATTATTGAGCAGAGTGTACGGATGGCTAAGGCCAGGCTACTGCAGATATACTATATTTGAATAATCTAATGCTCTGCCACAATTGAACAAAAATGCAGCAGTATTGATGCTTTTATTTTTCATGAGAAATAATTGTTATTAATGTCAAAATATCAAAACCTATATATATATATTAATTTTTTCTAATTTTATCCAATAATAACTATGTAAACATAATAATAAATTAAAGCCGCAAGCGGCGTCGAATGGCCCTCGCCGCCCACGCGCACCACCCCTCATGAAGCCGCTCCGCACCAAGCCGGGAGCAAATTAAAAATTGTCCAAAACGGGCAAAAAAAAGGTCACATTTTGCAGCTCCCCTGTTCACTGATGAAAAATCACCAAAGTCATTTTCAAGGTGCATGTGTTGAGATGATGTGGAGCGAGTTTGAGGCAAATCGGTGAAACAGCCGAGGAGGAGTCGCTTTCCAACCGACATGTATGAAAATGATTGCGGATCATTTTCCATTTTGCAGTGAAATTTATGGGCCTCCTGTTTGTCAGAGGGCGGAGCCATGATAACATTTTGGTCGTATCTTGACTTGAGGAACATGTGTACCGAATTTCAAGGCTCTACGACAAACTTGACCTCTGAAACTCCCATTGGCTGTTGTAGGTGGCGCTGTTCTGGCATTTTTTGAGTCCCATAAAAATAAACACCAAAATATCAAATTTTTCACCAGGTCTGATCTTTGGGCAAAATTTTACAACTTTTCATGTATGTTCAGGGGGTGAAATTAAGGCTCAAAGTGCAGAATTTGACATCTCTCGAGCAAAAACAATAGGCCCTTTCCCCGTTCGAGGCTCGGGCCTAATAATAATGATTAAAAAAAAAAAAAATATCCAAACTTCTGTTTTTTTTTTAAAGCAGATCCCTAGAACTGATCCCTCAAAACTTATGATGTTATATAACAAATGTGGACACAACCATAAACAGATACATGGATTCATCCTGCCTTTTATAGTATGTAGTATCATCCTCTGGTTTAGTGCCTTGGAAATGCTGCATGTGTTATTACGACCAGCTCCACTCGGGAAATCACATTTACTGTTATTTTAAGAGTCCTTCAGACGCTCATAATCTTTAAGCTGTTTGTCACTGTATGATCAGAAAGAGTTACAGAGTGGATGGCAAAGACAGCTGTGCACAAATTAACTTATAAATTCAGATTTTTTATAGAGGAATGCATGGAGGACGTGTTTTTATCTATGTTTATACGTATTAAAGGTATATAGGAGGATTTTCCCACATTTTAGGAAAGAACCGCCCTCTCCACCTTTAGAACAAAACTCTCTGGTCGTATTGGACGAGCCCGTATCACCAGAATGATGGACAATTGGGAGGACCAATAGTCTTGATGATCCACCTGGAAGTAGAAAATCTCCCATGTACCTTTATGTATATCTGTATTCTATGTATGGATGTGTTTTTTGTTTGTGGTAGTAGTAAGCCATCTTTATTTATATAGCGCCTTTCACAGACCAGAGTCACAAAGCAATTAACTATTACTTCAATTCACCTAAATCACAATGTCAACCGTCTCGAAGGACTTTGTTGATTCACCGACAACTATCAAACAGTAGGAACACGGGAAATACAATAATATCAATCACATAGGATTGATAAGAAGCAGACTGACCAATGTCCATAAATGTGAATAAATGTCCATAAATATTTGAATGCAGACAACTGTTAATCATTGTTAAAAGTATTGGTTCTTCTATACCAGACAATATAAGATTTTCTTTGGTGGTGTTATTACCTTGACATGTGTGTGTCGTCTCGAGACGCTTCTGAGGAAGACGGAAGTTATCCGTCCAAACATGTCAAGGTAATAACACCACCAAAAAAAATCTTATATTGTCTGGTATAGAAGAACCAATACTTTTAATTCTACTAAGAAGACAAGATGAATCTTCCTCTGAATGCTCCAATATCTGCAAAAGAAATAATAGACTCAATTGGCTCTTTAACCAATGGGAAAGCGCCTGGGCCGGATGGCTTTGGGTCAGAATTCTACAAAAAATTTGCCAGACAGGTATCCCCACTCCTCCTCCGAATGCTTTCTCACTCCATGGATACAAAGTCTCTCCCATCCACATTGTATAATGCTAATATCGCCCTTTTGCTGAAACCAGACAGAGATGACACTGATCCAGCATCATATCGTCCTATATCTATGCTTAATCTGGACTTTAAAATTTTCACTAAAATACTTTCAAAAAGATTGAGTAACTGCATTGAATCAATTATTCATAAGGATCAGTCGGGTTTTATCCCTAACAGATATTCATTTTTCAATACAAGGAGAGTGTTAGACATCACATATTTCAATTATCCTAGTCATTCTAAACAAGCTGTTATATATTTAGACGCTGAAAAGGCGTTCGACCAAGTTGAGTGGGGATATCTGTTAAAAGTCCTGGGGAGATTTGGACTGGGTGAGTTATTTATTTCTTGGGTTGAATTGGCATATCTTAAGCCTACTGCGTGTGTGATTACAAATCAAGAAAGATCAAAGCCTATACTCCTGGAAAGAGGTACTCGCCAGGGATGCCCTCTTTCACCACTATTGTTTGCTCTAGCCATCGAGCCATTAGCAATAGGTATCAGAGAGAACCCGTTGATTAAACCCATTAAGATAGGCGGAGTTGATCATAAGATATCTCTGTATGCTGATGATGTGGCCATTTTTGTTTCAGACCCAGAGCAGTCGGTATCACATTTATTGAATTTAATAAATGCTTTTGGAAAGGTCTCGGGATATACTGTTAACTGGCAGAAGAGTGACTTGATGGCGCTTTCATGTGACTTGCATCCAACGTTTGTAGCCTCTACGCAGTTTAAATTATCACAGGTGGTCAAATACCTCGGCATAAAAATCCCTAAAAATCCCAAGTCTATTTTCAAAATCAATTTCAATGAGCGATTAAATGCTCTTAGGCAGAATATAGAAAAGTGGAGGACACTTCCTTTATCCATGATAGGTCGTATAAACACAATTAAAATAGTGTCTTTACCAAGATTTCTTTATTTGTTTCAGAACATCCCTGGCTTCATCCCTAAGTCGTACTTTAAACTAATTGACAGTACTATTTTGCCATTTATCTGGGGTTATAAGGCACACAGAATAAACAAACTGCACCTCCAGAAACCAAAAGAGAGTGGTGGTCTTGGATTACCCTGTTTTCAACATTATTATTGGGCAGCTAATGTGAGGGTGATGGTATACTGGCAATTGGAGCCAGGGGAATTGGACGGAATTCCTTCATGGCTAACTATTGAACATAGTCTGGCTTCAAAAACGTCCTTAAAAGCGATCCTACATTCATCCCCTAGACCATGGCCTTCTCGTAAAGGGGAACACTTTATCCTTCTTAATGCTCAGAAAATGTGGTCACAGATAAGAACAGCATGCAAGCTTCCTAAGACAACTATAGACACTCCAATATGGCATAATCATGCTTTTCCTGCATCGTTCACTGATGCAGTTTTTAAAGAATGGAGCTGTAAAGGTATAAAAACTATTAAAGATTTCTACATTAATAAACAATTTTGCTCATTTGATCAACTGAAAGTAAAGTATAATTTACCCAATTCACATTTTTTTAGGTACTTACAGATGAGGAATTACATTGGACAGAATATTCCTTCATTCAATACCCTCCCTGGGGAAAACGTCCTTTTAAAGATCTTATCAGGATCCCCAGAGGCAAAGGGGCTTGTGTCTTCATTAGTAAAACATTTTTTAAATAATATGGGCCAGCCGACAATGACAATTAAACAGAAGTGGGAAGAGGACCTCAATATTACAATTGAAGAAGATATATGGAAACAAGCGTTGAGTGGTCTACATCATTGCTCTATCAACGCCAGACTACAGCTAATACAATTTAAGGTCATACATAGATTACACTACTCGAAAGTCAAGTTAAACAAATTCTTTCCTCAAACGTCACCTCTCTGTGATAGATGCAAGACTGCTCAAGGCACACTTGCTCATTTATTCTGGCTCTGCCCCACTCTCCGAGGTTTCTGGTGTTCGATATTTCGATGGTATTCTGGTGCATTTAGGGTAAATATAGATCCTGACCCTGAGACTGCTCTCATTGGTTTCTCCAGAACCCTGGAGATTCTAGGACATAAGACCACCATGGTTGTGTCATATGGGATGGTAATAGCAAAGAGATGCATTTTAAAAGCCTGGAAATCTCCCTCTCCCCCTGTCTTCCAAGCATGGCTTAGAGAGTTAATGGGTGTATTACACATTGAAAGAATGAGGTATGAGTTGGCTGGCAAGCCCCATAACTTTTATGATGTGTGGAAACCTATACTTAGTTATCTGAACCTTTAGTGTGCCCCCCCCAACCCACGGACTTATCCTATAAGGATGTTAAAGTGGACAATGAGGTCTCTGACTTTGCATACCCCTGTGTGTGTCATGTATGTAATGTCTTTTTTTTTTCTTTTTTTTTTTGTTGTGTAATTGTTTTCATAATCTTTGACGATTATTTATTGATATGTTCGGTGTTTATAAATGAAAATCTATAAATAAAGTTTTGAAAAAAAAAGATGAATCTTCCTAATCTGTTAATCATTGTGTGCTCAGACCCACAGACACACATTACAAACGCTGCTGTGAAAGTTAACACGTACAAACCCTTTCACACGCTCCCTGTCATTTAAAAATCCACTAAATCTGATGAAAAACTGGTTGTTGCAGAAATGGCTGAGGATGACGTGACCCCGGAGCAGCTGGCGGCCATCGCAGCAGAGAACGACGAGCCGGAGTCGGTGAACTACAGACCTCCGGCCCAGAAGACGCTCCAGGAAATCCACGAGCTCGACAAGGAGGACGAGAGCCTGCGCAAGTACAAGGAGACTCTGCTGGGGGCCGGGGTCGTCGTCACCAAGGGTAAGCGGCCAGACGACAACCAGGAAAAATAGTGAAACTCACATAAAAGTCCTGTCAAAAAACCTTCATAATGTAAAAAACAAGGATAAGAAAAAGGCAATCCCCTCTAATGTTTTGTCCCACGACCAGTTTTTTCTTCGGCCTCGGACCAAAATGAGTTTTGACACCTCTGCTGTAGATACATGTTGAGAAATGTTTCTATATTTTGTTTGTTGTTTGAATATCGGCCTAAACTTCTTCCCATCCGGCCATGTCATTACGCCATGATGAATTAACGTTGAAAAATATCCTAGTTGCTAACTAGCGCATTAGCTTTAGACCCCTATGATCGTTTGCAGGCTTAGAAAAGGTCTGAGAAACCTCATATCGATCGATCTCTATCCACAACCTCCGCACTAACTGCCACTTCCTGTGTATGCAGCAGTTTTACATGGACAGAAATCTGCTGCTGCACATTAAAGAAATCATAAATTATTAGAACACTTTCTTGGATAGGTTATTAAAGATGCTGGCAAAACCTGGACAAAAGTTCATGAAGGCATCTAGGCTGAATTTGTCATCATTTCGGATTTCCTTCTTTCTGGTTTCAGATGCAAATGTTATTGTTGTTATTATTTTATTCATAGCTTTCTCTTTGATAGACTAACAGCCTCTTTTTACATTCACACTGTTTTGTTTTTTAGTGCCATATACCAAATACCCAGCAAAATTGTTTGTTTTTAGTGCCATATTTAAAACAAATTTGACAGGGACATTGCACAATAAATGTATTGTTCAGACCGGACAAGCTAATTTTCATCCATGGTCCCTGAGCTGGGAGAAAAAATGATTTGCGTTATAAATGAAATAACATTTGTTCCATTATGATCGCCGTATTAAGAGAAAAGAACGCTTGATTATAAGGTTCTATTCAAAGTGTCTCCTTTACAAAGTGCTCCTCTGAGTTTCTTTCCCTCTTCTATAGACTTAGATCATTATCGCTGCCATCGTTGTCATTGTGCTGCTCCCGTTTTAGTCTTATTCACCTCCTTTACGCTCCCTATAGCAGGCAATGGAGTGAAATGAAACCCTAATGATTTTTCAGACAGAGAAATTGTCTCCTCAGAATAGACCAGTGTATAATTAATGCAAAACTGTCCTGGCTCCGGCGCAGATGGCCTGGTTCCTCACTCCTCCGAGGTCTCACTTCACAGGAAAAGACACAGACATCGATCTAAACGTTTATATTTATGTAAACGTCACAAAAATATTTCAGCTCTAGAACAATTTCCCTCTGTTTTGTGTTGATATTTCAGATGCGCCTGGTCCTAATGTGGTGGTGACACGCATGTCTTTGGTCTGTGAAGGAGCCCCGGACCCCCTGGTGCTGGATCTCACAGGTAACTCATAAAGCCTGGTTCACACGGCAGGATATTTAGGCCGATTTAGACCCGATTTACCCCTTACGACAATCTTAAGAAACGCTCCGATTTCCGTAACAAAATCTTACAGATTATCCTGCCGTGTGTGGTGTGTTAAGACTGCACTCGTCGCTCGGAAGGACATCGGGACTGCTCCCGATCTCAAATCGGGGATATCCAACATGTTGGATTGTTTTGGCCCGATTTCTGGTCGTGTGTGGTGTCCTCCGAGGACAAGCGAGCGCGTTGCCATGACTACGGCGTGTAGCCAATAAGAAGACGAGGTGACAAGCCGGTGAGGAAACACCGGAAAAAAACCAAAACAGCAGCATGGCTTTGACCATTGCCTTTTCTTTGGATTACGTGTCTTCTCTGTTAACAACAAACTGCACACTATCGCCACTGCATCCTCTTCGTCCGCCATGACTGTTTACTCTGAAGTCACGCTTGATCTCGAGAGATTTTGTGAGATTTCCGTCTGACCTGGGAATGCTCGGGGGGGGGGGGGGGGGGGGGGGGGGGTGTCGGTTCGTGTGTGATGTTTGTGGCTTGCGTGATCTTGCCGTGTGGCTACGCACCACACACTGCACGACCAAAGTGGTTAGACGCAGGATTTTTAATCTCCCCGTGTGGGGTCTAACACGGAGAAAAATCGGCCGACAATTTTAAAATCGTCTCGTGTGAACCAGGCTTTACTCATCGTCCACGAGATTTTATAAAAGTTTATGACGATTTTTTTTAGTGTGTCTGAAGCTCGACCCGAACACACACACACACACTGTGTGAACTGGGTTTTAATTGGATGATCAGAGCTGGTGCTTTCCTTGTTGGGGCCCTAAGCAGAAGTCAACATAGGGGCCCTACACCTAATTCAAGAAACCATAAAAATTAAAGAAAGCAGTTAAACAAATACATAATTCACACTAATCAAGCAATATAAGAAAACAGCCACAAAAAAAAAGTTTAACATGTATACTATTTATTAAATGATATACATTATTTGTATTAAAATAATATAACTGAGGTGTAATCAAAGAGCACCTTGAATTCCTTTCCTTTTTTATGACTCAACTATCTGCCTCCAAGATTCAATAAAAGTATCATGTCATCATTTATTCTTTGCAATATTTTTTCATGTGACTTGGTAAAGTTCTCCGAGATGACTACTGTTGTGATTTAGGGCTTTACAAAAATACATTGAATCAAATTGAGTCAGATTTACACGCAAACTCTGTGGGGACTGAACCGTGTCTAAACCAGGTCCAAATCATGACGGAACCGCATCTAAACCAGGTCAAAATAAGGACTGAACCAGATCTAAACCAGGTCAGGACTCAACCGGGTCTAAACCAGGTCCTGAAACTACACTTCTTGGTGGCGATTCTTTCCTAAAATTTTGTCAAATCCTCCTTTATACTTTTAAGATATAAAACCAGTAGTAACAATGTGGGTGAAACAAGCAACACAAAGCGCCTCACAACCCATATCCCATCAGGCACAAATCATAAACATTCAAATTTATATATACATTATAAAATACAATTAAAAGACAAACAATAAGATCACAAGGAATATTAAAAACATTGTATAAATAAGTAACTGAAAACCTTAAAACATAAAAATCACACACAGGATTAAAATACTAAATAGCCACAGTGCATTAAAAAGAGTTGTAGAGATAAAATACTTTCAGTTCTTCAGATGATACAGATGTGACAGGGGTCCGCGGCACAAAACAGAGGTCAGATTCCACACTACAATACTTAAACTTTTTCTCGCCTGCTGCGTTTCTTGTTTGTGTGTTTTGTGCGGAAGGTGAAGGAGGTCAGATCAGCTCCGAATGCACAAAAGTGAGACATATTTTCTCTCTGAACCTCGGCTGCTCCTCTGCTCCAGAACACTGTGTCCTGTTGAAAATCACAACGCCCATTTCCCTCTATCTCATAAAGCCGTCACGCGTTTTATTTTTTTCCTCTGTCAAAACCTCGGACAGCACAGTAAAATAATCTGCCTAGTGCCTTATGTAACAACACATGGCAGGTACATCACACCCGGGTGCATTTTTATGACATTTTTCACTCGTTCTTTCTACTAAATCAAATTGAGAGCTGTGTGTAGTGAGTGATCGGGTTTGTTTTCTTGGAAACTGAAGGAATAATATGACTTTACAATTGATTGTGCAATAACATCATCCTAACAAACTCTATGACCCTGCCCCCTGTGTCCTTATATGTGGCCCTCTGCCTTGCTAACACTAAGGAGTCCTGCGGATCATAAACAGCCAACTTCAGCGCAGCCAACTTCAGCTCAGCCAATGAATAAACATGCTGAACCGATAAAACAAATGGAGGTAGCTCATCCATCATCTGTACTTCAGTTGTCAGGTTTTCCGCTGTTTTGTTCTTAATCCACTGGACTTTGTGTATATTTGTAAATTGCGCTAATGTAGCTGGTGAGATGGTAAACATATGTCATTCAGCCAACTTCTGAGTTAGTTTTAAAGCTCAGAACAGCCCAAACCCTGTCAAAACAGTATTATAATCCGGGATGTCTGCCCCTGGACAAGCCTGGTGAACTAAAGTGGCCCTTTTAAAAGTTTGGACACCCTTGCCTTAATGCTATTCTTACGTATTGTTACATTTAGGCCTTTCAAATAACGACACAATAAAGTAACAAAAATTCCTTCTTCAGTTTTTAATTATGACTACAAATCTGTGTTATGCAACTTGACCCAATAGTGCATCATGCAAAGACACATTGAGGTCAAAGGGTTGAGCATATGGAGAGTGTGGAGGTGCGTCTATTTCCAGAGTTCTTCAGTGCGTTCACACAGACGAGCAGTAATCTAATCCGAGCTCCGTACACTGTGTTTCTGTAGGAGACCTGGAGGCCTTCAAGAAGGAGCACTTTGTCCTGAAGGAAGGGATGGAGTATCAGATCAAGATCAGCTTTAAGGTACACAGACACACACACTTTTACGCATATGCACACTGCCATTAAGTATATTTATGCAATTAGAACACAATAGACCCTTAAGAGTGCGGCAGAGTCCAGTAAAGTGACGGTCATAAGGTCAAAGGTCAGAGATCAGTGATGGATTATGAAGTGTTCGAGAGTCCAACAGCAGAGGGGAAGAAACTGTTCTTGTGGCGGGAGGTTCTAGTCCTGATGGACCGCAGCCTCCTGCCTGAGGGGAGTGGTTGGAATAGTCCATGTGCAGGGTGAGAGGGGTCGGCTGTGATACGACCAGCCCGGCCTCGAGCTCGAGCTCGGGCGAGGTCCTGCAGCGATGGAAGGCTGCGGCCGATCACTTCCTCTGCAGAGCGCACAATGCCCTGTAGTCTCTGTTTGTCCCTGACTGTGGCTCCAGCGAACCACACGGTGATGAGCACCGAAGAGCCGTGACAACCATACGCGACGCTATCTTGGTGTCGGTAATATTTACCGCTCCAAAGTTTGAGAGATAAAGCAAGATAAGATGGCCATAAAAGCGTCACAGGGCTCCTTCTGATCCTCCGTCTGCAGAGTTGGACCGGAATGACCAGACCGGTTTGGGAGCAACACTGAATAACCTGTTTAAAGCATATTTCATGTGCTTCGTAAATATAATAAATATTGACCCTGTAGAATTAGAACTTAGAACTTGGCAGAAAACATGTTTGACGTTGAATAAAAGAAAAAAAAAGAAAAGAAGAGGAAGAGCCAGTTTGCTCTCTTCCTGTATTGAAGATTGCTGTGTTGTTTTCCCACTGCCGCATTGCAACACATCAGTGGGAATGTCAGCATAATAAAGTGCCAACATTGGAGCAGATCGCAGAGGGTTTATCAAGGTTTATATTGTGCCAAAATGCCTGGAAAATGCTGAATTTTCATTTTGTTCTCAGTTTATATATATCAGACATATTGTGCTGTAGTCATCTACCACACCGATGTATCATTAGTGCGTTACAAATGTCAAAATTATTCAAAAACAATTCTGTATTTGGTTTAGTATCAGCGACTGGCTAAAACCCTATTCTGATTTATAGTTTAATAATTTCTAATGCACAGATTAACTACTAATGAAGGCACAGAGAAAGAAACAAGACCATAATCATTGTTTTTTGCAGGTGAACAAGGAGATTGTGTCAGGCCTCAAGTACGTGCAGCAGACCTTCAGGAAAGGAATCAAAAGTGAGTCATTTTCTTGTTAATTTAAAGGGTCTGTATGTAATATGCACAATTAGTGCAATTCATGACAATTATAATCCAATGTTTGTTGCCAGACGCATTTATTCCAATCTACCTGCTGGAGTTTAGCTAAAAACAGTACAAACTCTGTATATTATGTGTGACTACTTATTTTTTTTCTTGTCTCATATAAATGATAGTGTGGTGCTATTTTTTGTTTGTGAATTTAATTATGAACATTTAAAAAAAAAAAAAAAATACTATAAACACTATAAAAAGAGCCAAAACCAGCTACATTTCACATAACAAACTCTCTATTCAGAAAAGGCCGTATGTTTTTTGTATATTGACCTATTATTTGGGAACACATATAAAAGATGAAGATGGAATTGTAAATGCAAATACATACTGTGCCTTTTTAAATTAAAATAACCCTAAAAATGACCTAAATCAAGCGTTTGTGCCTTCACTCTCTCCCCAGTCGACAAGTCTGACTACATGGTGGGCAGCTACGGACCTCGCGAAAACGAATATGACTTTCTGACAAAGATGGACGAGACTCCCAAAGGCGTCCTGGCTCGAGGAACCTACAACATCAAGTCCAAATTCACCGACGACGACAAACACGACCACCTCTCCTGGGAGTGGAACCTGGTCATCAAGAAGGACTGGACTGACTGAACACTACCCACAAGCCTGCGCAGTGTCGGCCATTTTGCCTTCTTTTTTGGTTTCTTTCTGGTTGTGCATTAGTCCTGGCCTTATGGTTTTGTGCCTCGCTGTCTCACCTCTCGGCACGGGCCCCTTCTGTCGGCGGCGGCAGCAGCAGCAGTAGCAGCAGCAGTTTACACACCACACGATCATACCCACTTTCACAGGCACGTTACTTCAATGGAGATAGAAATGATGGATTTGTGGATTTCGAATGTAATGTGGATTCTGCCGTCTTCTAGTGAGATTGAAAAACACACTAAGCAAAGCATTCCTATTGTTGGAGTGGCATTTTAACATCCCCATGACATTTGACTTAATTATGTATAGCTTGAATAAATACAAAATAACATTCCTAAGATGTTTTTGTTTCAAGTCAGCCTCTTAGCATAATTACCTGACGCAAAGTGTTCACACAGCAACAAAAATAAATGTATAGCATATTAGGGGATCACAAATAGTACTGTCATAGCGGTTACATAACTCATAATGAAAGGCAAAGATGATAGAGACTGAAATCTGTCTGTGACTTTGGCAATTTAAAAAATGTTTACAATTGATGGATAGTCTTGCTGTCATAATTGTAGTTCAAACCATAAAGAGAGAATTAAACTTTTTGCTAATATGTCCACGAAGCTTCCTAATTGGTCTTAACTCATTCAAAGCAAATATTACTGGTTGTAGATATGCCAAGAGGAGGAACTTTGAAAAAATATATTATTGTCAAAAAATACTGACCGTTGCCCATGGTCAGAAATATACAATATAAAAAAATGAAATACAATTTGAGGTGCAGACATCACCTTTAATAACAATGAGTGGGACTAGCCAAAAACTCACTTTGATCCTCCAATTGTGCTGTAGGAATGCACTAATTCAGCTTTTTTATGTCCAAAACCAATCTCAATATTTTGATCCAACACTAGTAAAGGAAATAGCTTTTTTTATTCTCCTCAAATCACAACATGTTATAAAATGGATCCAAATGTGGGATTTAATGGTTATTTTTTTTCTGCATGAGTTAAGACTATGGCGTGCTAGCTTATTATCAGACTATAGGCCCAAATATCAATCAGGATATCAGCCTAACCGAGTTCATGCAACCAACACACAATCCACCCACTTCCTGGATCGGCTCCAATAACATTTCTATAATATTCTTTATCGTGATGTGCCTGTGAATAGTTCCGTCCCTGCTTTTTCCGTCCGCCCTTCACTACTGAGCTGCAGCGCCATCATGTAGCACCTTAAGTTGTTGTCTCCCCTTTGATTTCACCACCACAATTTTATATTTTAATGTTTTGTTCTGTGGCTTGAAGAGATTAACCCCACCTTCCAGTGTCTCGTCTTCCTCTCCGTATGAAGTACAGTGGAACAAGCAAGCGTACAATCAACTTTTGTTCGCCTTTTTTATATAATACGTGTAACTGTGGTTGTATTTTGTGACTGTATCCCACTATTATCGTGCTCACCCCACCACACCACACCACAGCCACTTCTCCTCACGATGCTAATGGGTTGGGTTCAAGAGTTTGTTTTAAAATGTAGCAGAACTTGGGGCAGAATTCCATTGAAACATTTGTGTTTAGTTTTAAGCTCTATATATTTACAGCCAATCACAAGAATCTACAAAATAACGGAAGGAAGGAACCTCAAGGCTTCTTTGCTATTCCCCTAATGAAAGCAAAATATAATCCATTACATAAACCGCCTTATCCATCGAAATAGCCTTCTTGAATTTCAGATTTTTAAAGAGACATATTATGCAAATTCCACTTCTTTGGGCTTTTAACCTTGTTACCACATTGTTCCTTCATTAGAAACACAAATGGACAAACAATATTACTACATTATCCACCTCATTGGTTCTGTCTAAAAGTTCCTGTCTCAGTCCTGTGATAGTTTGATGTCACCGTACCACTATGACATCACGCTCAGAGCGGTTTTCTGCCTTTTAAAACAAAAGTATGGCCCATGAATTAGTTTTGGCAATGTTTCAAGTTATATCATGTACTTTGCAGTCTCATGGCTGTGGTTTCAACTGGTAATTTTTTTATTTGGAAAAAAAAATAAAAATCAACATCTCCCTCTAGTGGTGGCATAGGGATAGGGCAGGTTAACAGCATTATTTACCCTTGATACTAGTTCCACCACCATATATGACAAAGTGAAATGTCATATGTGGTGTTTTCAACGGTCAAAAATATAGCATAGAAAAGTCTAGAAAAACCCCACACCCTGAACCCAACCTATGTAAGCATTCCCTCCTCACTACTTATTCCATGCTTGCCTACTCGCCGGCTAACTTTTGATATTTACAGAAGTACCAAAATCTGCCTTGTATTCAAATAAGTTATTTACAGGTGCTCAATAGCGCCCCCTTTGTCCCAATATTCACATCTTTCAGTAATCAAATAGAGCCAAAGTTGATGAGGGGCTATATAACATGTGAGTGAAGCTGCCTTTAATGCTTCGTGTTAAAAAGTAGGTGGGAGCTCTGTGGAAAAAGAGCTTGTCTTGTCACACTCGGGTCAAGTCAAGGTGCTGAGAGCTGTGGTTTAAAATAGCTACACTTTGAAGACACACTAGTATCTACAAGCGACACAACACGACCTATTTAGGATGCATACTTTTGAGATAGCGTGCCAAAAGCCAAAATCATCCTTCAAAAACGGTGGAGTCCATGTCTGACCATTTCCAGGCCTGTCACAGTAACTAATTTTAACAGTATATATAAATTCAGAACAGAATTGCGATGGATCAAATGAAAACTAGTACAATACAGGAGGAGAATCCCAGAAAAGCACTTATCCATTTCATAAAAAATGAAAAAACAACAGAAAGATTTAGCCATAAAGAACTAAAGCCATGCTAAAATGTTGCTCATTTACAAAGAATATGTCAAAAATCTCTTTTGCTATTGGACAGAAAATGTGACAGGCCAAACCACTTCCCTTCGGAGATCAAACTTAGCTTGTTCAGAAATCTACTCCTACTATTGAACGCAAGAAAGGGATTCTTATAAAACAAAAACCATATATTGCATTTGTGAGTTTTTCTGATTCATCTTGTTTTGAGTGCTGTATTGTCATGCAGAACTGAAAAGTAGACAAATAAATAATAAAAAATATAATGGGATTTCATGAATACTAGTAATTTCCAAATCAATATGGCTACAGGTTTTTCAGACGTCAAAATTGTAGGAACGTAAACTCATAAAGCAGGAGTTTTGGTCAAATGTTCCTGATTTATTTAAGTAACTGGAGTGGAGTTTAAAACATGTGAATTCTAGCCAGGTCCGCTAGTAGAGTTTTTGTGGCCTGGGGCAAAAGGGCTGAGATGAAGATTTAATTAAAAAAACCAAGATAACCACAATATCTGCAACAAACAACTGCCCTGATCTGAGTTTTTATTATTACAGCATTAAAGGTGCTCCACCCAAAACTAATCTAAGCCAGAAAAAAACAGATAATTTTCGAATCAGACTTGAACTAGTTGCCACGTTCATAGTTGAGGTTAAACAGTCTTATCCGCACCTTCACTTAACTTCAGGCAGCTCTCGTGTGTACGTAAAAAGGCTTTGAAGTCGCCCGTAAATGCAAGGGTTAATTCTCCCAATAAAACGTGCCCCATGTTTCCCGATGGACCAGAGCGACGCCTACAGCAGCTGCAATCTGAATGTGCTCCATTAGAAAAACTAACGATAAGCCAATGTCACTAGTTAGTTTGTGAGGCCTTCTTATTTGGGTCGATAATATTCTTTCTTACAGATTGTGTATGTTTGCCTTAAAGCACATCGTTTGCCCAAAACAGGTGCAGGTCGCTGAAGTGAAATACTGTAAAAAATAAAAAAGTGGCAATAGTTCTGTTGAATGACAAATTGTTGTTGGTCAAATTTCAAAGACAAAAAACATGTGAAATCTTTTACGCATTTTGTTGGGTGAATGATTTGACCTGCTTTGAAAGTGACCACAAAGCAGTTCAACTCTTGAGCCTACATTGTCATAAATGTTTATCTATGCGCACCAATTGGGATTAAAGTCACATTTCGCATTTTTTATCCAATAATTTGTGACTATTTGAATTCGACTGCCTTTAGGATCTGCTAAGTCTCTGTGGGGATTTAAAGTGGATGTCAGCTACTTTTGACTACTTTTTTACAGCTGAAGACAAGCACTAGTTGGCCCCGCCCCTTTCTCTCCCCCACTACTTCCTGATTGGTCGAACTCAATTGAAGTCCCTGAAGCCTCTTGTCATTGGTTCAACTGTTCTCCTCCCGCCAATCTTTCTGGTTGAAGTCATGCCAAGGGGCTGGATTGTTTTAGATGCACTTACCGTACATTACAGTAGTGTCCGATGATCAGACATATACATTTGTTTAAACATGAAATACAAGTTGTTGACATCACCTTTAATACTGTACACTTCCACAGATTGGCATTGCAGAATAACAAGATTCCTAGGTCAAATAAGAGCTCCGGTGTGTGCCGTCTTCTCTGTTTGGTGCACACTGGGGTAGTATTGTACAGTTTTTCCAATGTGGTTTTACTGCAAATGGCAAATAAATTCTTGTATCTTGAAAGAAGCGACCATGCTCAAGTTCAAAGCAGTATTCAAAACTGTAATCAAATAAGCGCTAAAAGTAAAAATGTGTAAAATATTTCACATTTGCCACTGCATTCTGAACTGAATGGACCTGTCGCATGGTTTTCTCACATCGAAGTGCATCTGTCGCCCTGATGCGTCGCTGATAAAATGGATGTTCGGTCAAGTTTGGAAAGATAAAGCACAGAGAAAGCACATAGAAAGACACTATTTGCTGCTGAAGATCTTTTTAGTGTCTGCAACGACTGAAAAAACTGACCTTTTGCCTCTTTGGACCAAGAAAGTCACAGTGAAGTGGGTTTGAAAACACTTAAAAAGTCTCAGATGTCGTACTGTAGCCGAACGCGTGGATGTATCTTTTGCAG